AGAATTGTCTTTATAAAATCATTTCCCCTTAAAAAGCCTGAACCCCCCCCCCCGACATAATTTACAAACGGGTGGGAACGATTGTCTCTCGAACTGAATGCTATGACTTTTCAAACAACAACCATGTAACAATCAAAAGTTAATAGTGCATATGTGAGGCGTGTGTTTTTCTCTTTTATCGTCAAGGTACGAAGCCCCAGAAGAGTTCATTTTTTTCCTGCCACAATATTCATATAACGTGCCCACAAAATAGGTGTCAAATGCACATAAAATATTAGCTTGTAGGCTTAATATTATAACAATTTGGCGGAAGATAAATGGAGCGCACATCTCTACTCGAGGATTCATTTAACCGGTCGTGTCCGATTGCGTTGTGTTTCAAAATATTGACGACGCAGAGCAGAATTTCTTGTACTGGCTGCGTTTAATCGTCTCAATCACAAAGCCTGACGAAAATAGCAGAAAACAATGTCCGCCTGTCAATTTGATTGACACCGCGTGCCCTTCGCCATGGACATCAAGAGAAAAAAGGGACGTCACAAAACACAACACACCTGACGAAAATAGCAGAAAACAATGTCCTCCCGTCAATTAGAGCGATACGGCGTACCTCTACACAAATTATATGGCATAGCCATGTATTAAAATACTGACACAAAAGTTTTTATCCGGCTCGAAAAACGCTTACCTCGCCATGTACATCAAGAGAAATACGGCAAGAGTTAAAAGGCGGGAATTGTACAAAAAGAGGGAGTGCCACATTAATTATTGAAGTAGAGGAACACATAATTTTTTTTTGTTCCACCCTTTTGGAATGGAGGATATAATAAAAGAACACGACCGGTATTTGTCATTTCACAGATTTTGTTGAATTATAATATAGTCCAGTATTTTTTTTTAACTGGCCCTGTTTACATTCATATTATTAATTTGCATTTTGTGTGCACGTTAAATCAATATTGCTGCCACAATTTACAATTGTTTTTCACCGTGTCGCGTGAAAATGAAAAAATAATAAAAGTTGTGACTGCTTCTGATGCTGTTTGAGTAATTTAAAGACATGCCAACAAAAGTGAAGACACAATCTTTTGTGTGTGTGAGTGTGTTTGTGGAATTGGCAGAGTACCATGATTTGAATGACTGGGAATCAAAGATTAAGTGTCTGTGGCCATCAATGGGCTCTGGGGGCACTGCCCCTCTAGTCGCTGTATGGACGATGGTCTTTTGGCCGCTTTGGCAGAAGGAGGGATGTCCGCAAACATGACCGGTCTGCCGTCAGGGCAGAGCAGCACGCTCGAGTCGGCTTCGCACTTGGTGGTTCTGCTCGGCCACAAGGCCTCGGCGGGGCTGTGCCTGATGGCCAAGGCTCCCTGACTCAGGACTTCCGGGCTCACCACCGACGCGCCGGCATTACTCATCTTGATCAGCATGTCCAACGACTGCTTCCGAGTCTCCAGCGAGCCCCGCATAGCTTTCCCCTCCTCTTCCTCCCTGTCCTCCTCTTCCTCTTCCTCCTCGTCCGACACTGCGGTGTTCTCCTTCAGGCCGAGTTCCTTCGAGTCGGCGGAGACTCTCTTGAACGAAAGGTCCAACGGGCCGTCACTCTGGCGAGCCGTCCTTTCCAGAGCTTGATGGATATGAGAGAGCTCATTTCGGATTTTGCTCAGGTGCTCCCAAAGGTGGTGCTGGACGGGGAGGTCCTCCTTCTCCAGGTGGGAGATGTTGCGCTCCGCTTCCTGATACTCCTGTAAGGCCTTTGAGAGGTCATTGAGGAGAGCAGCCACTGATTCCGAGGCGCCGTCCCCAGTGGGGCGTGTGGTCAGTAGGTCTTGGCTACTGTGCCCTCCTGTAGAAGGAGGTAGAGAGGGTGCCTCAGGATTTGGATTGGTGAGATGATCTGTGTACGAGGGTTCCGATGACCTGGTCTTGTGGTGCAAATTCTGTGAACTGAAATGCAGAGAAATGTTCAGTCTAACAACCAAGCCAAGATCGAAATAGGTCATTCAACGTAGTTGTTGTTCCCTCCTGATATAATAGTCATTTTTAAGTTTATCCGGTTTTCTCTGGGTATGATTTCAGTAATTTGACCTACCTAAGTTTGTCCGATGCCATATTTAGAGTAGAACTTGTCTGGATGTTCTTCAGAAAATCCAAAGCGAAGCCCGTCGTCGACTTCTTTTCCACAGGAGCTTCGTGGTTCACTACGGGTCCACCCGGCCTCTTGAGGCCCCAACTAGTTTTACCTTCCTTGGCTGAAGCCTGCACTTTATCCCCCAGCCTGTAGGCCGGGTCAGAAGAACCCCCCTGAGGTGACGTCCGACCGACAGGGGAAACCGTTGTGGCCCCAGGCCTCAGGGCAGGCACTTTCCACAGGTTAACTTTCGGCTGGAGACCAGATAAAGAAAACGTATCGACGGTGTTTGCGGAGGTTTTGGGTCCTTTATTGGCATTGCTCTGACCGGAGGCCGGTCCGAAGCTGTGCTCGCACAGGAACGGGTAGTAGAGCCGCGGGGGGATGAGGGTTCTGTCCGCGTGGCTGCCGGAGGCCGGATGAATCAGCTGGGCGGCCGAAGCCAGGAACGGGAGCTGGGCGAGCTGCGCGTGGGTTTGAGTGGCAGGCAGCGCCGAGTTCATGTAGGAGAAAAGACTCGGACCGATGGGATAGCCCACCCCGAGCACCGAAAGATTGAGCCCGGCGGGGTCCTGGTAGTCCACCAGGTTTGGCGGGGGAGGATAACACGGGATGGAGCTGTTCATTCGGGCCTGAGCGCCTTCGGTTTTGGCCTTGCTGGCGGTTAGGAGGCGCCACTGGTCTGAGAGCAACCCGGGTGCCGCCATACAGTTCTTGGATAGGGTCTTGTAGTGTTTCAACTGGGCCTCCACCTCCACAGAGCGTGCTCGCAGGAGCTGGTCTTGCAGGGAGAGCATGTCGGCCATAAACAACTCGGAATCCGCTTTGCACTCGGCGGTGTCCCCTTTTTCGGACCGCTCTTTCACCAATGTCTGCACTTCCTCTCCCTCCTCTTCCTGTCCCCGGTTTTCCCGATCTTCCGCTTCCTCCTCCACACTTCTCTGCTGCACCTCCTCAGTCCGCGTTGCCCGCTGGTCCTGGGCCTCTTTGCCGGCCCCACGCAGGCCCTGCTGTGACGGTCGCAGCTGGTCCGGGTGCGGGACGTTGTTGCCCTTTTTGTAGGGCCAGTCGGACTCGATGAGCAGGGACAGGGAGTTCTTGCACAGGCTGTACTTCATGTGGTTGTACAGGTGGGACTTCTCCATGCAGGTGAAGGGACACTGGAAGCATTTGTAGTTGTAGGGCTTTCCCCACGGACGAGGGATGTAGTGAGGCTTCTTGGGCTTGCGCTCCTTGTGTTTGCCGGCGGACGTCACTTTGCAAGTGTCGTCCTTGGACATGATTGGTCCTGATATTTCTGCGCGTTCCTGTTCAGGTTCGACTCATTCACAAGACTCGTTTAGCCGCTTTGCGATTTTGCTGCTCATTTGGATTATGTCCATCAGATTTCAGCGCGGTCGCCGACCTTCGGGTGGATTTTCTTGGTACCTGTGAACAGACACGACCGTTTTCTTGAATGTGACATGTGACATTTCATTTGAACTGGCCCATCTGTCCGTTTTCAAAATAGAATGCAGCCCTTGAACACAAAAGTTTGCACACCCCAGCCCTAGCCGTGGAATGTCTTTTTTTTTTTTTTTATATACTCCAAGATGTGCTGTCTACCTGAGGTAAAGGTCAACTCACCACTAACCTAACTTGAGATTCTCACTGTACCTGCCACTCCTCATTAGTTCCACCAGAATACCAGGCCGGGGTGAGGGTAAGGCCTCGGGGGCAAATGGGACATGACAAAGGGGGGCTGTGCACCTGTGCGGAGTTAGGAATGGCCTCTAGTGTTTCCGACCAGAAACCTTGAAGGCCAACGAGCAGGCAGAACGAGTCCAAGTCCGGGTTGCGGGTAGCGCTCGCTAAAGACGAGAAGGTGGTGGCAGCGGGGGATGGAGGCTGGTTACTAATGAGGGCCTGGCGTCATGCCCGGGGGGCATAATTAGTGGCAGGACTGGGATCTGGGTCAAGACACAGTGCAGAAGTTCAATAGATCTCCTGAACTAGGCCTCATCTTGCGAGTTGAAAATTTAAACATCCTAATTTTTTTTTTTTTTTTTTAAACTGGAGAGAGGGGGGGAAAAAAGTTGCAATCACGTCCCTCTCATCATGAACAATAAAAGAAACTATTACCTTGTTCCACTTTAGGGAGGGCCCTGCGGTGAATGAGGATGCGAGGAGCCTCCGTTTAAAACACTCTGCTGGAAGGGTTTTATTTCTTCTTTTTCCTCAGGTCATTCAAAGATAAAAGAGTGAACGCTTTCAAATTGAGAGTCATTGAAACCAAACGCAAGGAACGCGTTGTGAGTGGTTAGCATGTCTGCCTCACAGGTTTGCGGACGGAATCCGACGTTCCCTGAGCGGAGTTTTCATGATGCCCCCCCCAATGCTTGCGGCCGTTTTCTCTCAGTAGTCCAAAATCATTTTGACTTCAATAAAGACTCGAAACTGGGATGTCAAACTCGTTTTCATCGTAAGCATTTGTGATTTCACTCAGAGGGCATGATGACTGAAAACTCGATAAGGAGAATGATTTCTCAGGCGGCTGTCAGATATCTCAAAATACTTTGTACTTTTTTTTTTTTTTCAACCTCTGTGAATGATGACACGATGTCAAAACAAAGACAGCTGCAAGAGTCTGTACTTTTCTTCATTTTGAAAATTTGAATCAAGGCTTCCACTTTTACCGCAAGTATTTACTCTTTTTTTTTTTTTTTTTTTTTTACTTATTTGAACATACTTTTGCCACCTCTGCCGGTAGTTACCGTTGACTTTCGTTGCTCTGTCGGGGCCCGTTGTCCAGTTCATCGACTCCCGTGTCTGCCTCGGGGCTCGCCCCCCCTCCCGTTTAAACTCATAATGGAGCCGAGCAGCTGCTGTTACCAGGCAATCAATAAAAATATTTTTTTTATCGTACAGTTTCCTCCTCTTCTGGCCACTAGATGTGGATCACTCGCATTTGACTGTGCACTTTGAGACCCCCCCCCTACATGCCCCCCATCCCATATCCAAACCCTGCGGTCTTGTTTTGGGCTTTTAAAGCCGATGATCCAACAAGCTGAACCACTTGAACATCTATTGTTACAATTACGGACAGTGTGAGCACACTAGAACCACTTTGGCATGCATCAGCAACCACAAAAGTGACACTCAATGGAACGGCATTAAAAAAAACAAAAAAAAAACAAAAAAAAAACTAATGAAAAACCTCGATGTACATATTGATCCACGTGTTTATTTATTGAATTACCTTTTTTAATGATTTCCGGGATTGTGAGTCGTCTCCCTCCAACAACACACAAGTCCTGGTGGAGAGAAATAAAAACAACCATTAAAGATGAGTTTTGTCGGCTTTAATTTCCCACTTTTTCCTCAAAGTGTGTGTCTAATTTTATAATTATTAAAACAGTAATTTTAATTATTAATACTACAAAAAAATTGCAGGTTAATTGTCCATTATTTAAAATAGTATTTGGATGCATTTTTTTAATCACGTGTGAAAAGAATTTTTAAAAATGTCTTTAATGATACTGTGTGTATTTTATACATATAAAATCAATAAGTATTTTTGTACATTGATTCCATCCCTCCATCACTCCCAATTTACCGATTCACGATGCACACATTCATCACAGTTGAACGCAATTCAAAATATGAACCACATCATTTGCATAAGATAACACGAAACCAAAGACCGGCAACAAAGTTCTTGACATAATTTGTTTCAGTTCAAAAAGTCAAAAAAAAAATAATCATAATGAAAGTTTTCCTTTTAAATGTCTTAGAAGACGCAAACACACACACACATAAACAAAGTGTCTCCCGTTAGCAGCCACTCTTCTTCGTCCATTCAAGATGACTTTAAAAAAAAAATTATAATAAAATAAAATAAACATGATCATAATAAAATAAGCATACAACCACAACAAAGATATCGGAACAAGGTGATACAGTTCAATTTGCAGAAAAACTTGATAGCACTCGTCTTGGTCCCTGCATGACCACCTCGAATAAAACGATCAGCAATAATAAAGCAAATAAAGTGGATGATACCTGCAATCCAAGTGTCTGTCTTTCGGAGTCGAGGAGTGCGGTTGTTATCCCGGTGCTGTCTGCCTGCCTCTCGTCCGTCCCTGTACTCAAATGGGAGCACAGCAGGAGCGAGCGTGCACATTTATATTGACTAGGAGCGTCGCCCTCAGGCACTACAATAAAACAGCCACCCTACCCCACCCTTACCCCCCCCCCCTTTTGCCCCGCGACCACCTACACTTTCAAATGTGCTCTCTACCTCGCAGCCAAGTTGAACTAAAAGGTTACACCAGTGAGTGATGGCATCTTAATCCTGGACGTGACTCTTTTAATTCAACCGTGATGAGGAGGGGTTTCTAATTGTTATTTTCCTCATGACGAACACATTTAGTCGCAGGTAAAGTATTTTAAATGAAATGGAGTGAAGAACGTTGTTGTTGTTGTTGTGTGAGGGAAGCCTTGTATAACTGAGGTAATGGGCCCCAAACTATTTATCTAGCCATCTATCTATGCTAGCTTGCTAGCTAATTTCTATCTATCTTTTTAGTCACTGTATCATCGATTCACCTATCTACCTCACTGCTATTCCCATCTCGCTGACCTTTCGTCTCCAGTGTAAGAGAAACAGTTTAAAAAAATGGACTCCAATGTGCCTCACGAGAGATATCATCTCCACCTCCTCTTCTTTTTCTCCCCCTTGGTCCTCCATGTCACCGAGCTCTCCTGCCCTTCCTCCTGATTGAGCAGACATGGTCTTCCCCCCCCACCCCACCACCCCGCCCCACACTGTCACATTTGCTCCAGATGGTTAGGCTCCATGTAAGCGGCCTGTCAGCCTCCATTTGGCCACATCGGCGCGACAGCCGGCCTGATGCCTCGTGAAGGGTCCCTGACTGGATGACTGAGTTCCACGGCGCGGCGAAACCTGATGTTGGTACATTTGATGTACTCTTGAGCAAGACTGCCATGGCAGTGGTCATTTTCTGGCTGGTACCAGGAAGCAGGACCATGTCAGCAGGGCGCCCTGAGATCAGGCTCAAGTCCAGACACAAGGTTCTTGTCCTGATACTGTGGTCTAATCCCAAATCAAGGTTCTGGTATTGATAAAAGACTACAGTGGACATCTTATCATGTTATCAGGTTGCACGCTGCATGAAAGGGTTCATTCTAAATGAAGAAACCGGCCTCTACAGTAGGGTCTAGTCTACAATCGACGCTGAAACGTTCCTCCTGACGCAGGGGCGAATTGAAGAAGAGACTTGCAGCGTGAAGCCACCGACGCTCTGAAGGAGGATGAGGTGGAGGATGAGCTAAGGGTCCTTATGGAGCGGCATCTGCGGAGGCTGACAGCCGCACTCCATTACGGCTCTGGGAAAGGAACTGGAGGGCTCCGACAACGCGCCCACCAGGCTGAGCCAGCTGTGCGCATGCATCCAAACACGCGCTCGCACACACACGTACTCGTATTGCCGCATGTCTTCTAAGATGGACTATTTGTTGAAAATAGAAAAGTCTTCCAACTCGGGGATGAGTGTTCCTCTCTCCTTCCACTCTGTGACTTTGAGGCCCGAGGTGGAATGGCTAACAGCTCCTCTCTGAGCGTGCGCTGCTGGGCACATTAACTAAACTCATATCGCTCTCAGCCACTATCAATTATTCACCGCAGACCCCCCCCCAAGCCCCTTTCTCCCCCTTCCGTATCAAAGAAGAGCAACACCCTTGAGCGATTCCCTGCTTTATGTTGCTGAGGATTTTCAGTCATTTGCTTTATTGAAAAGTTGGATAGAAGCAACCGGACCGGTGTGTGCTTCTTGATGGTCTTTTACAAAGGTGTAAAATACTTTCCAACATAAGTTTGAGTACTGGCGAGGCACACTTTCTGGCAGGAGTCAAAAGAGGGCATGAGGGCAAGTCTTAAAAATGGAATTCCTGGAAAAGTGTTCTCAAAAACAAAAAATTTTTTACAGGCCAATATTGTCAATTAGCCATGGGTGAAGCTAACTTTACGGTCAGTTTGTTTCCCTTTACATTTTAGTTATCTTGGTATCTTTCAGACTTTTTTGTATATGTAGCTTAATTGTGGTTTCATTTTCATTCATAGCAGGTGAAATACTCTGAAACCGAGACACGTAATACACGTTTACCTAAAATAAAGTAGTCTCTGAGAATTACGCAAGGCCAAGCTAAACTAGGCTAGTCACGAGCTGGCTGTTTCGCCGATATTTTTCAGCGAAGCTAGGCTAACCACAAGTTGGCGGTTCGGTAATATTTTTCATGAACTCAAAAAGGGAGCAAATATTGTCATCAGAAAGGAAAAAAAAAAACCAAAAGGTCTCTGAATGCTGACACTATTTAAAAAAAAAATGTAACAAGATTGACAAGTGTCTGACAGAGGAGACCTGGCCTCACATGATGTCAGTCGACGCCGCTGGGAGCAAACAATGAGACATTTCCACTTTCACACTTAAATGAACACGCAAGGCAATTATACCGACGAGGGCCGGACGGACGTTGGCCGCCGTCCAGCGTGTGGAAAGGCATCCCTTCAAAGTCAGCTGGCTTGATTTGTGAAAAGGGCAGATATCAAGGTTCAGCCATGACGGGACCTATGAGTCGTTGGGGGTTTTTCCTCTGCAGACACTTGTGCCCTTCTCTTTAGTCTCAACACACACACACACACACACACACACACACACGCACGTTTCCAGCAAACCGGATGCTTTACTTCTGCGCGACCTGCTACTATTTGGAATGTTAAACACATTGACATCAAATACACATCATAAAAGAGTGATTCCCAGCCATGGAGACTTCAAAAGTGGTCGAACCCAATTAAAAAAAACAAAAACAAGTGAGTGCGCACACCGTCTTTTAACTGGTCTTTGTAGCTGCGTTTGACTTTGACAATGGAAACGTGCGATCTTTCACCACCTTTATCAGAGAAGGAATGACGAGATAACCAGCTGGTTCAGGACTTGACACCCTCGTTTCTCGCTTTGGGTTAAGATACGGGAAGCAGCTGGCAACCCCCCCCCCAAAAAACCCGTTGTCACCCGATTTTCCTTCCTCGCTTCGCCCAATGCCGACTTCCTCTTCCAACCAGCTGACCCCCTCCTACCCCACCCCACCACACCCTCAGGAGGTGGGTCTTTATTTATTTATTTATTTATTTCACGGGTGTCACCTGATGGGGGAGGGGGGGAGTGGAAATGAAGGGAAGCAGCTGATTGTGTCACAGCGCATTACTACTGCTGTCCATCACAGCGTTGACCTTCAGGGTGTGCGCACGCGGGTTTGTGTGTCTGTATCAACAACGTGTAAGTATGTGCATATTAAGTCACTGACCCACAGGGAGTTCATGTGTTTGTTCATCAATGTAGGGTGTGCGAGACAATGTGTGGAGTGTGTGGGTGGGTGTGTGTGTGTATATGCGTGTGAACACTCAGAGATCGGGGGTGTGTGTTGACGAGTGTGTCTCCATGTCAACGCGGCAATCGGTGCGAGTTAGCTGACGTCGCCGCCAGCTCAGCTCGGCGGCCGACCAGCCTCAACGACTTGAACTCACTCACCAGTTGATAATCTAGAGCCACATGATACCGTGCTGAAGATACCGTGGATGCCACCTCAGTTGAATCAAATCTCATCGTCACTTCCTGACCAATTCCCAAGCGCCGAGGATGCATTTCCTGACAAATGCGTCCAAAATCGGAACACGACCACGAAGCAAACGTCCATATGCGTTGGGACCCGAGCACCAGCGCAGCATCATGCCCGGACCAGGCTTGTATTCCCTCAGTAATGCAGAAGCAACACTCACTGGGGAGCCTGGTGTCAGTCACTTTCCCAGCTGCGACCAGGGCCCCCCACCCATGCAGGGACCCACCATCACTTTCCCTTGGTGGTGGTGAGTAGGGGGGGGGCAAGCTGGGGGAGTGGGGAGAGAGCGCCAACTCCTGGAGGACGCCCGTGCAACGCTGGCTGCCCATGCGGCAGGAATCGAGGGAGACAGGGACCAAAGGCCGTCAGCCTCATCCCTTCGGGTGCCTCGGCCTCCCAACTACAAGTTCACGTTTTAGCAAACCATATGTTCTCCCTCTTCCCCCCCAGCGCAGCACAGACCCTCTCAGCCAGTTAGCAAATAAACAAGTCAGGAAGCCATAGCTTGGGGGGGCGGAGGCTTGTTTGCCTCTCAGATGCTGTCAGCCTCGTGCCTTTTCACTGCCGCTAAGCTGTTTGCATTATTGGGAGCTGGCTAACACTGTGAGTGGGGGGGCTTTTTGGGGGCTACAGGATG